GCCCGGGTCTGCAGAGGTGACCGCAGGGCTCAGAGCAGGCTGGGAGTGCGGACTCCGCTCCATCAGAGGCCGGTGTCTCCCGGCTGCCTGCACAGCAGTGAAGGAGGGAGGGCAGGGAGAGGTATTGTTCCCACGAGGCCCCACTGCACTTCCAGCCCCAACCAGAAGAACCAGCCCCGGGTTGAGGATGGCTCATTTGGAGGGTGATCTCATTTATCTGAACAACAGTCCCAGGAAGCGGGGAGGGTCTGGGAAGAGGTGCCCCATTGTGTGGACAGGGACACTGAGGCTCCAAGGAGCCGTGACTCAGCCCTTGTCTGGGTTGTGCTGGGAAGAGGAGAGGAGAGCCCCCACCTCCTGCCCTGCCCCAGGCTCGCAGGCAGGGGCCTTCTCTCCCTGCAGACTCTGGGGGCCCACCCCTACTGATGGGGTGAGTGGGGAGGGGTCACAGTGGGGGAGTGGTCAGAGATAGCCCTGGACTGCGCCCTTCGGCTGGGGAAGAAGTCCCTGTCCACAAAGTGGCTCAGAGTGGGACTCAGGAGGATGGGGGTCCCCAGGGGATGGTCCTGGGTCCAGAGAGTGGAAGCCCCACTCTTTCCAGGAATGCTTAGCCACACCTGGGCAGGTAGGGCCGCAGGAAGGAGTGACTGGGGGCTGAGACCTGTGGTCCCCTTGGGGACCCTTGGGGATGGTGTGGGGAATTTTGGTGGCTGGAATTTTTTGTCCAGGCACCGCGAGCCAACCCAGGCTGCTGGGGATGTGTGCCTGTGGCTGGACTGGGGGACCCAGCTGTGGAACTCCACAGTTCATCCACATCCACCCATTGCCCTGCACAAAATATTTCACCCCCATCAGTGAGGTCTGTAACCGCCCTCAGCGCGGCCTTACCCACTCTCATGTGATGGACACACACACCTGATTTCCGGGCCCAGGGCCAGCCGGAGCCAGACCCTGTGACTCTTCCTTTGCCACGCCCACACCCTGACAGTGTGAGCCACGCCCACACCCTGACAGTGTGAGCCA